GTCAGATTCTGATGACCATATATTGTAGTAATGTAAGTTTATCCTTGAGGTTGGCACTCATCAATGCCGACAGCTGTTTTATATTTCTTTACATCGGCATCTTTGTTTTACGTCACCATACAACTGCCGACCTGAATCTCTTAACGTGTCAGTATGCAAAAATAAATATATGTAAAAAAATAATATTTGTGGACCAGTATTTTTTAAATATATACTCAGCAAAGTAAAATACAACCACTTTCTTTTTTTAAGTATAGCTATTCGATTCTTATACGGCAAAGATTTGATGACTGAGTATAAAGGTTATGCTCAAGAGTTTCTTTGTAGCTTTGTGTACAACACCAGACTGCTCTACTCCAATCATCTATTAACTTATAATTTTCATTGTTTAAACCATTCAACTTTAACAGCAGAGAGATATGGTTGTTTAGATGGAGTGACAGCCTATCTGTTTGAAAACAATATGTCAGCTATAAAAAGAATGATACGGGGTCTTTCTAGAGTAGTAGCTCACGTTACTGGATGACTCAAAGAAATAAACAATAATATGTTAGCAGTCTGTAAAAAAAAGCTAAAGTTTAATCCAAAGATCAACGAATGCTATCGTCTTAAGAGCGGAAGTTTTTGTGTCATTGACTTAATAAATAGTAATGCTAAAAGTGTTCTTGGTCAAGTCTATATTAGAACAGAAATTTTATTCAGCTCCTTGTAATTCTAAACTTGTTGGTATTTACAAGGTTAACAACAAGCATACAGAAATGTTAAATATACCTTTTGATGATTTTGTATCAAAGGCCAATAGAATACCGCTGTCTCTTTTTGAACATAATAATCTTGCAGCAGCAGTTATTTTATCACTTGTGCGCAGTTGAAATGCTCTACAAGTTAACTAACCATATTTGGTATTTGTTAGATGCTAAATGAGCTATAAAGTGCTTTAATTATTTTAAAAATGGAGCATTCAATTTTTGTAAATTTATTTGTAATTGTATTTTAATGTCTCTTTGTATTATTTTGATTTCAACTTTTTGAAGTCAATATTTATGCTTTTACTCATTTACCTTGAATAAAATCATTTACTTTACGCCCTTCAAAAGTTTACTATAATCGTTTACTTTACTGCACCCGCTTTTTCAGGGACCTATTTTTTATAAACTGAAATTTTTTACAAAATAGACGATTTCATTTAACGAGCGAGCTTTTCCCCCTTCCCCCCGCCCTCCTCACTTTGAAAAAGTGTTTTTATAATCAAAATAATTATTAAGTAAATGATAGTAATGATATCAATACCTGAGTTCATTTTGAAATCATAAATTGTTCATTTTATATCAGGTTTTAAGTTCAGAATGATATCAATGATTGAATATTTTTTTAAATCAAATTGGTATCATAAACTTCTCATGTTATAATATCAGTCTTTGATTTCAGAATAATATCAATGAGTGATTTCATTTTGATATCTTATTGATATCACAAACTTGTCATAGTATGATATCAGGTTTTGAGTTCAGTATGATTTCAACGAGTGATTTCATTTTGATATCGTATTGATATCATATATTAATATCATAAATATCAACGTTTGATATCATATTGATATCCGTATGATATCAAATTTGTGACTGGAAAGGCATCATGCTGGTTGCTTCTCAGTTTATTTTAATTATTTCTGATAAAAGCAAGACGCTGGCCTTTTATTTTTACATATGCATTTTCAGCATATTGTTGAAATAGCTTCATGTCATAAAATAATGAACAGAAAAGTTGCCTAACAGAAAGTCTATAATTGTAAAACTAAGATAATTTAACATGATTTCTTACAAGTGTGGCACGCTAAGGGTTATGCACCAACTTATAATGTCAACCAGCATCACCTCTTAGGAAAAGTATAGGATAAACAATAACATCCAAGTTGGCTGACATACTTGATGAATATTTTAAAACATTAAGACTCATGATTTATTGCTTGAAGTAAACGAAAAAAAGACAGGCATTATAATTTCAAATATGTTTTAAAAAATTAACATTAGCATTACTATCTATATAACTCCTTGTAAACAAATGCTGCAAAACTTGTGTAATGGTTATAGTGGAGGCAAAGCTACCTTACCATTATGGCAATATAAAAAATGTGTTTCATCTGGAAATTTCTTTCCACCACAGTGCTAACAAATTTAATTCATTTTTCCTAAATAATTATAATCTGGAATAGCATCACTTCTTGCTATTTAATACATTTTTTTTCAGGTCTAGCAGCATTTCTTTCATTTTGGCGGCGATAACTACAGTTTTGGACAAAACAAATGCAACCAAATAATGCTAATTTAGTTTCTTTATATAAAAGAGCTACGTTTTTTGTAACTTTTTAGAGACAACGTTCTTTAAGTTTTATTCATCACAAAGTTTATTATTTGTACACGAAAATTAATAAATTAATCAAAAGTATTAAAAAAAAATTGATTTTCTTCTGGACAAAACAAGTGCAACTCTACAAAATGTTGATCAAGCTGTATTTCGCTATCAATATTTCGTGGCAAATCCTTTGTTGTCGATCACAGCCTTGCATCTTCGAGGCACAGATTCGAACAGGTGAACAATGAAACTTTGTGGAATCGCCCAGACCTTTTGGATTTGTTCAAACAGTTAATCCTTATTACGAACACATTCACGAAAAATTCTGCGGTTAACCATCTCTCAAAGGTTCTCGATAGGGTTGAGATCCAAATATTGAGGCGGCCAAACTATTACCAATAGGTGCTTGTCTTAAAATTACTACTTGACTACTTTTGCAGTGTGTTTCGGATCGTAGTCTTGCTGAAAAATCCATTTTATTGGCATATTCCATTCAGTATGAGGTAACAACATCTTTCAGGATTTTTTTATACATGAAACGGTCAATTTTTTCATCGATTCGATGTATTAGACCTTGACCAATAGCAGAAATATACACTCAGACTATTATATTGCCTTCAAAATGCTTTACGGTCATACGGCTGTAACTTAAATCAAGGCGTTTTTTGGCCGGTCGACGTACACGACAAATGTTGTCGCTCCGAATCATGTTAAATTCAATACATCACTAAACAGGACAGTTCGCCATTTCTGCACATTCCAGTCAATATGAGATAAAGCAAACAGGAGTCTTTTCTTCTTGTTCTTTAGTGAAATCAGCGGTTTCTTTGCAGGGTGTCCAGAAAACAATCCGGTTTCAACAGCACGTTATCTGATTTTTCGGTCCGATACAGGCAGCTCTAATTGCTTTCGGTTTCTCGATTGATGATATCCAGAGATCCTTCATAACGAATCTAACAATCATAGAATCCTCTCTATATGTTTTGGAACACGTTTTTCCACCTTTGTTATCTGCTGCCAACTTCCCCGTAGAACAATATAGCAATGGGGGCTCTAAAACTGTAAAATATATTTCATTGTGTTGTAAACAATTCTAAAAATCATTTCTTTAAATATTTACAATCAATTTTCAAGAGGTTTATGTAAATATAACTGTAAGAGATAAAATTTCAAGGCAAAATTATTTATTATCGCTAAATTATATTTACAATATATTTTTTGGATTACTTAAATATAATTTCGACTATTGGATACATTATTTGGGCTAAATTTTAACCTTTAATTTTTAACCTATAATTTGTTAACCTTTCAAGTTAAAATCTGTCTTTTTTCTACGTTTTATACATTTTATATACTTTTTTAATGAAGCTCATAGTTTGTGTCAAAACATTCCAAAAAATGTCAGATACAAACTTATATTTTTACTTTAAATAGTCTCACATGTTTAACCTAATATATTTTCATAATAAATAAATTTAATTTTGTAGATATAAATTTGTTCTACAAATAAAACTAATGGCCTATAAAAATGCGTATTAAAAAGATAGTTTTAAAGCAAAAATTAAAAATAGTGTATAATGGTGCCAAAACTATCCCCTGTTTAAATTACTGATGTTATAGTCACCACTCACTATCCATAACTGCGACAGATGGACTTTTTTAATTTGTTTTTTGATTTAAATATTCAATTTGAAACTTTTATTCGATAATAAAATATTAAACTTTGATAAAATAAAAGTTTTTGAATTGTTAGAAATGTTTGGCATATTTTACACGGTTAGTCTTTGTTTTAATGAACACAAAACAAAACGCGCAATATCTAATTAAAGAATAATATTTACAATAACTCTTTATGGACAGATAACACATACACTTACACTTTTAACTAAAACTTGTAAAGAGCCTCGCTGGAAGATCTTTTTTGGTGTGTCACTTTAAAACAAACATTATACTTACTAACGACATTTAAATGTACTTTGTAATAACAATTTGTGATAATTTAAAGATAAAACTAAATATATTGGTACATAAGGTACATTTGCATAGATTTTTTAAAAATACTTTCAATAAATTAAACTTAGCGCATCTATTTTAATGCAAAAAAAAGGGCATGCTTGACTAGAGTTTTCATAAAAAAATTGATAACTCTTATTGAGTTCTATGTTTGTCACTCCAAATGCACAGTATATTTTTATCCAATAATTTAACTAGCAACAAGCAAAACATGCAAAATTCAATCAGAAAGCTTTATCCAGCTTTCTAGTTTTTATCGAAATTGCGATTTTGTTTGCAATTTGTAAAAAAATGAACAAAATGAAAAAATATAACGACGACAATATAAAGAAAAGAGAAAAAAAAAAGAGAAAAAAAAAGACTTTTTCTCTTCTTGTTTTTTTAACATATAAGCAACAATAGTAATTAAAACAAAGATCAATATAGAACAAAAAGTATTTATTTAAATTTAAAAATTTTAACTAAAATAAAGCTGTTATGAGCAAACAACTGGTTTAAATTTACAATGCTAAGTAAGGATTTAAAAAAATTTAAAAACAGTTAATTCTAATGCGTGGTCAACGATACTTCTTTGTAAATATCAAATTCAGTATATAAAAAACTGTATTGCATGTTTGTGCTGAATAAACAAACAAATGTTTCTAAACATGAAAGTAACAACTTGTGAACTAATACGAAGTTTAACTTTTAAAAAGTTTACAGTTGTTATTTTTATTAGGTAAAAAAATGTCAATAGAAAGGAAGCATGCAATTGCAGCTATAGTACTTGGAGGCATTGAATCAGCAATCGGAGTAGTTTTATCAATTGCATCGTCTGTATTGTTTAGAAAAAAAAGTTCCTATTTTCTCTATTTAGCATATTGTGCCGGGCTCATTGTAAGTGTCACCATTTCAGTCATGATTGTGTGTGTCTGTGTGTGTGTCTGTCTGTGTACATTTTATTCAACGATAGTTATGTTACAGCTTATCGCGTCACAAACTAGATTAAATAAGTTTAAACAACAATAATTGTTATAATTATTACATAATAAGTATTATTTATATAATATCAAGTACGACTTGTCAATACCTAAAAAAAGAATGATGATTTTAACCTACAAAAACATTATTTTACATATTTATTATTGCGTTTTAGAATAAGAAAGTTTATATATATATATATATATATATATATATATATATATATATATATATATATATATATATATATATATATATATATATATATATATAAAGTTTATATATATATATATATATATATATATATATATATATATATATATATATATATATATATATATATATATATATATATATATATATATATATATATATGTGAGAAAATGTCAAATAAAAGAGGAATATACCACCTTAAGCTGCATATCTTTACATATCTACTTATTTATTTATATATATATATATGTATATATATATATATATTTATATATATATATATATATATATATATATATATATATATATATATATATATATATATATATATATATATATATATATATATATATATATATATATATATATATATATATATATATATATATATATATATATATAAACTTTCTTATATACATATATAAAAATTATTTAAATAATAGAAGTCTTTGTATGGTACTTTTTGAAGATATAAGTTCTACCATCTTTAAAAATTCAAATCTTTATATTTTCGAAATTTTCTTTAAGACCTAAGTAGATAAAAACCTATAACAAACACTGGTCTAATGTAATCATACTCCATACTTATCAGTTATTTTTATGAAAGTGAGACACTGTTCTTCAATTTTAACATATGCATCAGCAATATATTGTTAAAATAGTTTCTTGTCATAAATTATTGAACATAGATTTACTAAAGGTTCATAATTGTTAAACTTAGATAATTTAACGTGATTTCCAACCAATGCTGCATATTCAGGGTTGCTCCTCAATAATGCCATTTCTTGGGGGAAAAAATGGATAAACCATAGGATCTTGAAAGATGACATACTTATTATAACATTTAAATGACCTTTTGTGTAAATAACTTCCCTTGAAGTAGGTGGAACACCATTTTCTCCAACAAATACAACTGCAGTTTTACTAACAATAGTTTGCAAATAAAAAATGAAATATGTAAGCAAAGTTGATAACTATGTTAATGCCAAAATTTACTGTTGATTGGGTCAGAGATATACAGTTAATAATGTTGGAGGAATATCTTGATCCGACCTGAGATTACCTACAAAACTGAAAGCTTGACCACATATTTCAAGGCATGGCATAGGTTAAACCAAATAATCAGTAATAAAAACAAAATAAAGAAAAGCATTAACAATTTTAATATATTTAAAAAAATTGAAATTGGACTTAGGAAATGTATAACTTTCTATAAATAATGCAAAAAGAGTGAAAATGTAGGCAAATTATCATCCTTTTATGGCTACATAAAAAAATTTTCATTTAGAAATCTTTTAGCATGACAGTTATATATATTATGCTGACAGTTCTGGTTCATTTTTCCTAAATAACTATAATCTAGAATAGTATCGCTTCTTACTATACATTACATATTTCTTTGTCTCGCAGCATTTTGTCACACTTTGAGAATGTTTGATCTAATATTTTCTAGACCTATCTTCTTCACTTATTTGATAATTATTTTCAACTTGTCTAACAATTATGTTTTAATTTAGTTTTAAATATATTTTTCTTCCCAAGCATCCGTAACCTTTTGACAATAAGTAATTTATAAATATAACATTTGTGTGGTGAGCTTTTTTAATAACACTAACATTTTTTTTTATGACTTAAATGCCTAAATATAAATTACAATAACTGCTTGATTTCTTGGCTGTAGTTGGACTGCTTGTAAAAATGATCAAACCTTTTTTGAAAAAAAATCACTTGTTATACACCCATTTTTGCTGCCACCAGAATTATTTTAGACTGCGACCAAAAATGATTTAGAAGACAAGTATAAGCAATCATAATATTACAAGGTCAACATTTAAGTATATTATGAGAAATAATTAATTATGCCAAATACATTATATATAAATAAAACAGAAAAGAAAATAGTAACCAGTAGCTGGTCGACTAAACATAATTCGAAACTAAACAAAACATTAAAAACATACGTAGATATATGTGTATGTATATGCTTCACGTTTAGTTTAAAATTAAATTTTGTACAGTCAAACAGCATCTGGTACTGTTTTCTTTTCTGTTTCATTTATATATAATGTGTCTATATATACATACATATATATATATATATATATATATATATATATATATATATATATATATATATATATATATATATATATATATATATATATATATATATATATATATATACATATATATATATATATATATATATATATATATATAAATATATATATATATATATATATATATATATATATATATGTATATATATATATATATATATATATATATATATATATATATATATCTATGTATGTATGCATGTATGCATGCATGTATGTATGTATGTATGTATGTATGTATGTATGTATGTATGTATGTATGTATGTATGTATGTATGTATGTATGTATGTATGTATGTATGTATATATGAATGTATCTATGTATGTATTTATGTATGTATGTATGTATGTATGTATGTATGTATGTATGTATGTATGTATGTATGTTTGTAGGTATGTATGTATGTGTGTATGTATGTATGTATTTATGTATGTATGTATGTATGTATGTATGTATGTATGTATGTATGTATGTATGTATGTATGTATGTATGTATGTATGTATGTATGTATGTATGTATGTATGTATGTATGTATATATGTATGTATGTATGTATGTATGTATGTATGTATGTATGTATGTATGTATGTATGTATGTATGTATGTATGTATGTATGTATGTATGTATGTATGTATGTATGTATGTATGTATGTATGTATGTATGTATGTATGTATGTATGTATGTATGTATGTAGTTTAATATATATTTATTCTCGAAAGAAGAACGGTAAACGAAAGAAAGAAAAACGGTAAACGAGAAAATTTAATTAAAAGTTAAAAAATGATAAACTGTAAGCATTATTGAAACAAAACTTTTTAAATCAAATAATTCTAATGATTTCTAAATTCAATAACTCTTAAAGGATTTTTAAGATTTCCATGATTCTTAGCTGACTTTTCAAACGGAGTACTTTTGAAAATTTTTAACAATTTTTGATACTATTTTTGTGTTTCATAAATTTTCTCCTTTAGTTTTTATTTTACTACTTTTTTCAAATTAAAAATATTATGCAATACAAAAAAGTTGTGCTTACATTTAAATTTAAAGTTGTTTTTTATATACAATTTAGATTCTTATTCCTGGAATACTTGGTCTTGGGTCTGGTTTTACGAGAAACCGCAGCTGTGTAAGTTTGATTTTATTTTTTCGTTTATAAACCTCTAATCCTAACATATTAGAGTATATTGTTGCGTGATGTTGCCTAAGTTTGTTCACATAAAGGTTTTTTGGAAAGAACTAATTATATTCTATATTTATAATATTAAAACAGATTACAAATAAAATATATATATATATATATATATATATATATATATATATATATATATATATATATATATATATATATATATATATATATATATATATATATATATATATATATATACAACACTTTAAATGCAAATGCAGTTATCTATTTATCAATTCCTAATTCGAAAATAGATGATTAACGACAAATGTTTAATATTATTTCTTTGACAACTCTATGATTATAATTATTTTTTTATAATTTTATTTTTATGTTTTGCATGTTTTATATTTTCACAAAAACATTGCGTCGCAATTTTTAACTTTTAAACGGTTTACTACCTTGCTGACACATAAAGTGTTTAAGAAATAAAAAATTTTTATTAACATGTATTACTACGTCTTGAGCCGATTTGGCACAAGACTTAAAGCACGATATGCCAAATGATAAATAAAGTTTGCATCCAAGAAAGTTTTTTAATATTTTATTTGCTAAGGTCGGACCCTTAAAAATACGGGTCTGTTTAAGTCTATTCCAAACCGAACTTTGCTATATTTTTTCCTTATATATCATAGCTTTCCGGATCCGTAAAATACAAGTCTTTACTAAATCCATTATTTCTAAACATATCTATTCCACACAGATTATTTATATACCTATTGCTCGTTTACTTCAGTATATTTTTAGAAAATTAATAACTTATTCTCAAAAATATTAGGAGCGAAAACCTTAATACGCTTTAAGAACTTTGCTTATGATTTTTATTTACGTTAAGCTGAGCGATTACTGAGTAAATTGATTAAATTTACCTGAATAAAAATTAAGCAAAACTGCTGAAGTTTTTATTCAAGTAAAGCTAACCAATTATTGAGTATAAGAAAGTGCTCATTTTTATTAACTCAGTCTAAAGACATGAATAAAATATAGCAACAACATTTGCTGAAAAAATAATTTTTTTGTAATAAAAAGTAGAAAATAAATTTTTTTATTTAAATTTAATAGTTCAGTAAACTAAAGATTCACAGATCTGCACAAGATTTATATAGAAACATACCTTTTCAAAACTTTTTCGATATTTAGCTATGCTTTTGTCTAGGCATTTGTAATTAAGTCGAGCTTTTTATCCTAAAAAAACGGAGTATTTGCTAATTGAAGCAGCGCAACATTTTTCTTTTAAAAGATAAATTTTTTTGTATAAAAGTAAAATAACATAAAGTACAAATATTTTATTTGCCTTGCAACCCGCGTCTTGCCACAGATAGAGTATATTTTTATATTAATATCCAACAAAGTTAACATAACTTTGCTATTTTTATAATTTTATCAAAAAAAAAAAAAAAAAAAAAAAAAAAATTATAAAAAAAAAGATAAAAAAAAAATAAAATACAAAACCACAAGCAATCTTTATTGAGGATTTGAGTTACTTAACAGTTTACGTAATCAATAGAACTCCTTATTTAGTTACAGTTATTTATTATAAAATAATAAGATCGCTTTCCGGCTTAATGGCTAAGGTCAAGTGTAGTATCTGTTCTTATTTCGGCAGAAACAGCATAAGATCGAGACCGTTACAGTCGAAAGAGGTTCTTGGCGTAGTCTTTTTTTCATTGTCTCCTTCTACGTCCGGAAATTTTAAAGCAATCCGTCCACTCCGGACGTTAAATGGAGATAAACCATGAAGTTGGCGCTGCTTAGATTCGGCTGAGTGGCAATTAAACCCTTAAGTGGGTCATACCTAAACCCTTAATTAGGCTAAAAACGGAGCCTCGGCTCCCAAATAATACCGGCCTTCTAGGGCCCTGTGTAAGTCTGGTTTCAGCAGCAGATGTCTCTAGTTGGTTTGGTAAAAAAAATAAATAAAAAGCGTTTATACAAAATATACTTAAGTAAGAGCATGGCGAAATATGCAATGCGCATTGGAAAATAGTTTAAACCAATGGTTCATTTGTGTGAAGCCAAATAGACTTCAACACTCCCACCACCATTAACAAGTAAAGAAATGCTCTTCTTGTTTACGAAGGTGACATTCACTACATTTTCTTTGTCAGAACATTCAGTAGGATATACTTTATTAATGGGTCGAATAACTAAACACAATTTACCACCTTCTTGTATGTAATGAACATTAGCAACGCAAACAACTCCATCATTAGATCATATCAATTCTTCAACATGTGCTATTTTTCATATTTGTCTTTTGCAGTTATCGCTTTCAATTAATACAATGCCATTAACACTAATATCATTATAACCATTACTTCGATTTAATTTATGGTATTCACTCAAATCTGTTTAGTACTCACTCTTGATTCTGTTTCTAAAATAATTCAACAAATTAGCTATTGTATTGCTTCATTTATGCACATCTTGTTCGATCTCTTCACAAGCACTAAGAATAGTCTCACACCTAAGTTTAAGTCCAAAAACTAAGTGATTGGGTGTGAGTGCTTCTTTACCTTGGTTGTTATACAAACACGTTAATGAGTACCATTTCAATTTCAGAAAGTAATGTTCATATTTCTTCATAAAAAGATTTCAAGGTCTTTAAGACTTTTTTTAAACAAACAACTCTCCCCACCAAGGGAGCCAAAGATGCATTAAATTTCCATTTAATAGAATGGTTCGCAGCAAAAGATTGAATTTCAACTGAAAAGAATTGACAACCATTGTCCTGGGTTGGTGCGGCGCGGGGCTTCCTGCGAATGCTGCAGCAGGGGGTGCGCCAGTGCGGCGCCTGGATCTGGGGGTGGGGTCGGGTGATCCTCTTTTAGGAGAGAAGAAAACCGAGAAGTTTTTTTAACTCCCTTGTTTTTAATGGGTTGAATGGTTTATAAAAGGTAATTCATTAAAAGTATGATGATTATGTGGACAATTTCAATCAAATTATTTCAAAAAATAAATTTTTCTTCTGAATAGAAAGCATCAAAAATTGCGTAGATGAATCACACTACTCCTACTATAGAAATAATAGAACCTAGAGAGCTAATAGCATTTCAAGTTAATAAACTATCTGGAAAAGCTGCACATCTTCTAGGCATTCCTGCTAATCCTAAGAAATGTTGAGGGAAAAAAGTTAAATTTACTCCTATAAAAGTAATTCAAAAATGAATTTTACCAAAAGTTTCATTAATAGCAAATCCAGAAATTTTTTCAAATCAAAAATAAAATCCTCCAAACATAGCAAATACTGCACCTAATGATAAAACTTAATGAAAATGAGCCACTACATAATATGTATCGTGTAATAAAATGTCTAATGATCCGTTAGCTAAAATTACACCAGTTAGAGTGATAAGATATAAAACCAGTAGCTCATAACATAGGTGTAGATAAATTAATCTTTCCTCCATACATTGTTGCTAATCAACTAAAAATTTTAATTCCTTTGGAATAACAATAATCATAGTAGCTGCTGTAAAATAAGCTCTAGTATCAACATCCTTCCTACAGTAAACATATGATGAGTTTAAACAATAAAAACTTAAGAAAGCTATAGCCAATTGAGCATATATCATACCTAAGTATCCAAAAACTTGATTTTTTGAGCTAAATATAGGTATAATTTGAAATATAATTCCAAATCCTGGAATTATTAGAATATAAACTTCAGGATGACCAAAAAATCAAAATCGATATTGGTATAAGACAGAATCTCCTTCTCCAGCTGGATCAAAAAAAATAGTATTAAAATTTCTATCAGTTAATGACATAGTTATTGCTCCTGCTAAAACAGGTAAAGAAAGAAGTAATAAAAATGCTGTTATTAATACTGATCATGCAAACAAAGGAAGTTTATCAAATGTTAAACCTGGTGTTCTCATATTAAAAATAGTTGTAATAAAATTAATTGCTCCTGCAATGGAAGAAAATCCAGCACAATGAAGACTAAAAATAGCTAAATCTACAGATCCTCCTGAATGAACTAAAGGTCCAGATAATGAGGGATAAACAGTTCAACCTGTTCCTGCTCCTTGTTCAACTAAGGATGAAGTTAAAAGTAAAATTAATGCCGGAGAAAGTAATCAAAAGCTAAATTTATTTTATCTGGGAAAAGCCATATCCGGAGCTCCTATATATACAGGTACAAATCAATTTCCATAACCATCTATTAAAATTAAAAAAAATATCATTACAAAAGCATGAGCTGTCACTATAACATTATATAAATGATCATTATAATGCGGTAGTGGTGTAGTGGTAGAGCGCTCGCTTCATAAACGAGTGGTTCCGAGTTCGATCCCCACCACGTCCCTGGTAGTACCGCGCTGCATACTTAAAGCAGTTCCTATCATTTCAGAAAATGCGCCAAAAATTATATATAAAATTCTTATATCTTTGTGATTAGTTGAAAACATTCAACGTGTGATTCAATTATAAACTTATTTTTTGAAAAAATAAATAATTTTCTGATTTCCCTATTGTTGGAATAATAAATAAAAAAAAAAAAAAAATAAAATAAACTAGAAATTATACTGATTAATATATAAGGATTTTCTATAGGTATTTATATTGAGTATTTATAGCTAATTTTATTTTATTAATCAAGTTAATAAAATAAAATTTGCTATAAATACTCAATATAATAATTTCCCTATCGGTCTAAAGGTTAATGAAAAAAATTTATTAGTATGTAAAAATGGAATAATGAATAATATTACTATACTAGCTGAATTGACCCGTAAAAATACGGGTCTTTGTAAGTCTATTCCACATAAACCTTTTCCCTTATTTTCTGAATCTAGCTGTCCGTATCGGTAAATACAGGTCTTTTCTTCAACTTCTATATTTATCTATTCCACGCCAATCAATTCTTTACTTTTACCTTATTTACTACAATATTTTTTAGTAAACAGTGGAAAAAAATTCAATAAAAATTT